TATATATACAGTATATATATGCACAGCCTACACTACAATTATGCAAACACACGACAAAAAGCAGTGGTTTCCAAAAAGATTGGTTGCTTAAAAATTGAATGCAAGGCTAAGATGCCCAAAGGCTACGATTTTATTGAGATTACAACCAAAACAATGCCATTTTCTCAGAATTTTGAGTCACCAACTAGCCTACAACATTTGCAGTATAGTGAGATAGCACCATTACTTTAAAACATTACAGAACAAAAAAMAGTAGAAGTGGAAGTGGAACGTTACATCATGGAAGACCACACTGACAGGTTAATGTAGTCTATTAGTTTTAACCATATCATTGTGTAAAATCTGGGAAAGTTTTTATAGCATCAAAAACCTACTTTAGTAGATATTTAAATAGTACATTATTTATGTATTTTTGGTCAACCTACTAGGAGGTGACCTATGACCTATTATGGTCAAAGGCTTTCAATTGCTAGTGACCAATGTGGTCATAATTCCTACACTGGTTTTACAGCACCTGATATTTTCAAGTGGTCTCATTCAAATACTAACCAAGCCCAACCCTGCTTAGTTTCCAAGATCAGATGAGATCTGGCATTCCTACACAGAAACAGTGCATAAATATAATGAAGAACAATAAAAAAAAACAAGTAATCAAAGCTCAACTAAAATAGTAAATAATATTTGCTTCAAACGTGCATTATTTCCTACCTCCTGCCAAAAGTTAATCTAGCCACAGAACATCTCATCGCCACATGTTCGACGCAGACCAACAGCTATATTAGAGGAGCTGGCAGCGAGCCGCCTCCTGGTCTGTGCTGCTACCTCTGTCATTTTATTGCACACATCATTAGCACAGCAGATCAGCCTGCTGTAAATAACGTTCATTCAGCTGGTGTCCATCAGGCATTAAACTTCTCAACCCCACACCCGACAAATGAAAAGAAGCCCTTTTYACTCTGCTAATTCCCTCTGACAATRGCAGCTAAATAATTTCTCTGCAGGCTCAGGGTCCACCAAAAGTGATTGGGAAGTAATTCTGGTCAGGGAACGTGAGCACATTAGAGTGTAATGCGCCGCTCGGGGAGCAAATGTTATTGGCATCAACAGTATAAAAAGCATGTTGAGATAATGCGATGAGGACAGAGAAAGAGTGCAGGATGCAAGATCGACATGGAAGTCATGGAAATGAGAAAATCTGCCAGCAGTAGGTGGAAGTAGGCGAAATGATTAGCTCAGGTTTATGAAAGGGAGTCACAGCTCTCAACAGTTCACAAACACCAATCATATTGATCTCAAGCTAGATTTCAGCTAAAATAAAAGTATTTTTTCTCACCTGGTTGGTGGTTTTATGCTGCAAATACTAGAAAAAAACAAGTCATCTAAATTTGGAATTTGGGGGTTTCTAAATAAATCTAATTTGACTTACATTAGGATGTAATGAAAAAGTATGATATGGCCTCTGGACTGATATATTAAAAATGAAATCCAATATTTCACTGGAGCCAATGAAGCTGGGTTTACCTTTGGAGAAAACAACATTTTGCTGTTGAGTAATTCTTTTGGCTCACAGTCACTGTCGATTACCCCTAACTTCTAAAACAGCTAAACTTCAYTTGAAACTGGCAGGACCTGAGGGGCTCCTGGAATGGATTTTAAAGTATTACACTCTGAACCAGTTGGAGGATTTATCTAAAACTGGACCAAAGACTGATTAGTCATCAAAGAGGAGGGAAGTGGTGCCTGAAAAGTTKGCGACTCATTATTTTACTGCACAGATATGATCCAAAACATCGTTTGATTATGTCACTGAAGAGAAAAGGAGAATGATGGGAGTAAACAGCTTGTTTGAAATTGATGTTAGAGTCACATTTCAATCAGCAGGATGGCAATCAAGCGAGAGTGGATGGTGYTTATTTAAAGAACGAGGTCTGATTCAGTTCTGATCGTGACTTTACGTGACAATCAAGGAACATACTAGAGAATTTTTAAGGATCTCACAAACAGAGGTGGTTGTTGGTCAAAGGTTGGAAGAAATTTCAAAATGTTAGGGTGTATTCACACTTGACACTTTTGGTCTGCTTTAAATGGACCAGAATTTGTTTCCCCTCTTGGTCGGGACCTTTTATGCAGGTGTGAATACACTGGTGTGGACCAAACAATTAGACTGAGACCAACTTTTTAAGGTGGTCTCGGTTCGCTTCTAAACAAAATCTTGTGTGGTTCACTTCTGGTGTGATTACAGACCAGCCTCGAACTGAACCAACTACAGGAGACATGCGCCTTTTTGGACTTCACCAGCCACCGTCGCCAAGCATCACGGTAAAAATTAGTCCTTCAGTGTTGCTAATGCTAACACTGTGCTACACAATGAGTCGTTGTGGGTCAGGGCATGCGGAGCACCTCGTCTCCTTTGGGTTGCAGCATGCATTTGCCAGTGTCATCCCCAATATCGTGAAACCACCGTTAAATGCTCTTTAAATTCTAAATGTTATTTCAGTCGAATTAACACCATCTTTATTTCTGGGTCTGTAATCTGACCTGCCCCCGTCATTTCTGTTCAATGGCARCAATGATCGTCACCCTCGAGGCTTTGTTTATAAACTATAGCCCGCTTTCAAAAAAGCACAATGTAAATGCAAACTACAGCAAATGAAAAAATAAAGTCCACTTTTGGTCCGGACCAAACAAGAGGACCAAAGGACTTTCCTGGTGTGAATACACACTTAGAGTCACAGAGGAAACTTCAGATCTGTCAGCATCAATCACTCCAAGCAAAACATTCCTGGATAATTTATTTTTAACAGAACGTCACTATTACAGGGTCAGTCATCAGGAGAATTTTGAAGCACCACACTGTGCTCAAMGATCAGCCTCTCTAGTAAATAGGCAGAAACCTACTTTTAAAACACCACGTGTGTACAAAATGACTGCTGGATTATTATTTTTATATCAATGACTAAATAACATTTCTCCAAGCTTTGAGCCGAGAGTTTCCACATTTGGAGAAATGAACACCATGCGGTGTAACAAAATGACTGATCTATCTGTGAGACACAGTCACTAGTTTAGGCTTCATGTTGGACGAAACAAAGAGTTCTGAACTCTGTAAACTTTAAAGTAGAAATTTAAAGACATTGTAAAAAAGGAGGTAATGTTTTAAAATGGCCAAGTCAAAGTCCTGAGAGAGAAAAACAAAATAATGGCACACACCCAAAAATCCACTAGGATGGGTGCTGAACCAAGACCAAAAAAAAAAAAAAAAACATGAAAAAAGTACAAATCGATCTGTGCACCAAAAGGCAGCTCCAGTAGAAAGCTTTATTTTCTTGTGTGATGTTTTGGGCACACCACACTCCTTCAGACTACAGATCAATTTGTTCCTTTTTCAAGTCAAAGTCCTGACCTTAATCCAGTTTGAATGTTGTGGAAGGACCTGAAGAGGGGGAATTCAAGCCAGAAAAACACCCCAGAGTTTACAGAGTATTGAGCAAAAAACTTTTCAAAAGCGACTGTGCACGGCTGATCAACAACCGAGGAAAAAAAGAGTTAGTTCKATACAAAGTTGTTCACATTATCAAATGATGAATATCCCTCAAGAAATAAATCATGTTTTGTACAGATAGGCTCACATGGGTTCTACATTCATTTTTAAGATGGAATAATCTGGTGATGCTGTCAGTCAATCGCAAAAATAAAGAAAACTTAAAAGAGTTACACTTTTTTTAGAGTGAAACAGATTTTCTCAAGATTTGCTTAAATTGGATTTATTTATTGCTTTATTTTCTTTAGGCTCCAGAAATACACAATGTTTGTTCACTCTAATCTATCTTACTGCCCCAAGAGTCTTAGAATTACAAGATATTCATGAAAAATACATCTGAATTTGTTTTCGATCCAGTTTTTAACGCTGGTGTCAAAACGAAGTCTGGGAAACCCAAAACAGTCAAACTTAGAGAGAAGAAAATGATCGGCTTCTTTCACTAAGATTTAAATTCCSGTGAGTGTGAATTACAGGAACGTGTGAGATGGAAAAAAAGTGTGTAAATGTTATTAGTCAGTTTGATCGTTAATCAAAAACAGTTTTTGTTAAACTGGATTAATGCTAAATAATGCAGCAAAGATTAGCAGCATGTTTTTAGTTTTGTCACATCGACTTATAGAACAGACTCCTTGTTTTAAAGCCATTTTTACATGTCTTGATTTATGCCAATAGGTTGTTTAGTATGCTAGAAGTGCTACAACTGAGCACCTGTGCTAACAGCTTACCCTCCTTATAAATCACTCAGTATTATACTTTTAAATTATACTGCGGTTTTTAGAGAATTTGCCTAAATCGGGTAATGTGCTACACACTTTTTCAGGAATGTTAGATTATTAGAAGCACAAAGAAAAAGCATTCAAGACAGAAAGTTTAACAACAGATAGTGGTTGTAGTGGTTCAGTGACACATGGGCTTACCATAGACATATAGGACGTAGTCGTCGTAAGACTCCCCCAGAGGGTTGGACGCCACACAACGGTAGGTTCCATTGTAGGACTTGTTTAGGTTTTCGATGTAAAGATCACTCCCAGTGATGACAGCATGGGTTGGTACTTCATCATCCACTTTATACCAGTTAATTCGCTGTGGCCTGGAAATAAAACAAAAACAAACAATGTTGGTTGAGGGACTTTGTCATCCAGGTCAGGGTATCCCAAAGTGCTTGAGAGGATTAAGTCTGAAACAGATGAATGCATTTGCATGAGAAGGGAAATGTCTAGAAGAATCACGAAAGTCCAGTTATAGCATCTCATAATACAAGTCTGAGACAAAGGGTAGGCCAATACAGCAGACTTTCAGATTACAGACTATAAGTATGATAAAGTCATTAAAATGTATACCACTATGTGTACAACACCTCGGTATCTCTGCATTACAGTGAAGCAAATCTGTGTCTAAGTTGTTTTTTTATCATCAATTTGGAATAGAAATATGCCAAATGTTAGTAAACTTTCTTCTACCGCTCTGCCAACGCCTTGTTTTTGTCATGCCAGGATGGTAGGACAACTAAGCCTTCAATAAAAGTGCAACAAAAATCTAATTACTCCACCGCAGGGACACATCAGTCTATTCAGTCGTTCCAGGGAAACTCATTGGGTAAATCTTAGCCAAGAGTTTGGATTTTAAATGTCTGACTAAAATGGTTGAAGTAAACGTAGCCCCAACACTACAGCTATAATAAAAAACCAAACAGCAAACACAAGTAGCTACTGAACTGCTCTCATTTTATATTTTAAATACTTGCATGTTGCAGAACGTTTGGCTTCCACATTACGGCGCGGCTGAAATAAAACCAAAGACAATCGGACTGAGGTCAGAGTGTCAGCAACTGGTCAGGACCCCAGTTTGGTTGATTCAACATCAATATTAACCAAATATCAACTTTTTTGACCATAATTTAACATTGAATTAACATATTTTGCTATCTAAGTAATTTGCATTAAAAATTTATTTCTGCCACATTAGGAGCATATTCTGTCAGCAGAGCTGCTCACAGGTTTATTTGTGTTTCCTTCAGTGTCTCAAGGTAAAACAGGAGTTAGATGTTTGCTCCTATAAAGTCGACACCATCAAGACAAGGCTTCAAACTTTTCTCTATGATGGTACTCCTACTTAGTCTTGGCTCAGGTGGCCCCAAACCATCTTTGCTATGCTATAGGCCCAGACTCTGTCCTCCACTGTCCTCCTTTCCTTCTCCATGCACTGATGTGACCATGTCACAAGCTCTGTGGGTTTCCATCTTGAAGTTTGTTAGCTACTCTCTCTCTTTTCTTTTTTTCCCTCTCTGAAGGCATCCTCGGCTCCAGAGATACATGTTTCTTATCTGCAGCTGCTGATCCAAACAACTTGTACACCATTTATTATTTCTTTTTCTCTTGCAGTTCTTTGACCCACACCAGCTCAAGCAGGAGGCTGCTCTGCTGAGTCTTGTAGCCGAGTTTCCTCCAGTTAAAAGGAAGGGTGTTTTCTGTTTTTTCTCTCTCTCTTTCTACTGTTGCCAAGTGCATGCTCCAAAAGGAATTGATGATTTTATCTTTGTATAATCAAAAGGTTTCGACCGTACTATGCAAAGTGCTCTCTGAAGATTTGTAAAAGCAAAAAAAAAAAAAGTTTCTGATCTTTGGCAATTGGTTGCACGGAGTCAGCATCAAAAAGAATTATTTTTATTCCAACAATACATCTTGGCTTTTACAGATGAACTGTTTGTGACTCCTGATCCTGAGCTGTGTTAATGTGAGTTCTTAGATGTTTGAAATGCAAAGCTTTAGATTTCTGAGCACTTAAAGGTCTCACACCGTAAATCTGCATCCTTTTTAGTGGCTCAAGTGCAGCATTTACAACTTTGTGCACAGCTGTGAACGTATTCACATATTTAGGCTAATTATTAAATAGAACAGTACCAATACCAAGAGTAAAATGTCATATGTACATTTGTGTGTACTCTTTATTGGTAACAGCTGCACAACTCTGACTCGGAGGTTTCAGTTTATACGATTTTACACTTGCTTGTGAGGTTTTCGTGTAGGTTGCTGCCCACTAAGCATCTGTCTTTGTTCTCTTTTCCACCTCAACCAAAGGTGGCATATTCCATTTTTATGACAATRAGCACCAAGTGTCCGGAGTCACAGAGGGTTGGGGGAAAAAGACGAAGACAAAACACCTCTATTTGGCTGCGGCAGCCTCCACCGACCACTGCCAGCTACTGTTATTTCCCCAGAGCGTCTGCTGATGGTCTCTCGCAGTTTTTTTTTTTTGTTTTGTTGAAGTGCTTTAAAGTTTTTTTCTTTTTTTCCTTCCATCCTTTTTGAAACCTTTCTATGTGAATCAAGCAAGGAAACAGGAGATGGAAATAAAAAATGAGGTGAAATATACAACAAGGAAAAAAAAACACTATATGGCAGTTGAAGCTTAAGAGCAAAACAAACAAACCACAAGTGTGTTTAATGGCCGGGGTGGACAGCTTAAAAGAGAAACGCACCACGACTACTGCGAGTGCTCTCCAGAAGAAGTGAAAAGTAAGCAAACAATAAATATAAAAATAACTTGAAGATGGAAAAGAAGACATAAGGTGGTTCTATAGGTGGGCTGGAGGTTGTGAGAATGGAAAAATGAATTTAGAGGAGGAATATAGACAGAGATAGACCAAAGAGGTAAGATGGGGATGCAAGGAGAGAGGAAGGGCAGGTGTCTGGAATACAAATGGCTGCCTGCAGCCGGGGCCCTCTCTGCTATCTGCTGGTAATGACTACACAACTCTCAGCAGCTCTAATGAAAATGACTTCCAATTCCCGGCTCACTGTATTGATTGTGTTTTCATCTTTATAAAATGAATACGGGGAGCGAGCTTGTCTCCATGCCAAGCTTGAAAAGCAGGAGGGTGGGGAGGTTAGCAGGTACACAGTGTTTTGATCTGATTGTGTTTGTGTGTTCTTGTGTATCCGTCTCTCCGAGATCAAATAGAGTGTTAGACTCTAAGAATGAAGATCTCTCTGGCAAAGTGAGGCTGACAGGTCGGGATTGGTTCCGATTTATGGCGGAGATGAAATTTTGAATTAGGATGGAGTTTGGGCATTTTAAGTTTAGGCTCAAATTAATGGTTTGTATCAGTATTGAATATTTAGTTTCCTGTTCTACCTTAAAAAGACACGAACGAGAGCAAAAACTACAAAAATAAGCATGAGGCCATCACCAAAGCAGGACTTGTGGATGGTTTTAAAGCTGCCAGAATATTCCAAAAGAAATTAAATTTCTAAAAAGTTAGTTCTGGTGTCGCAGAACGAATGCTTGATTTCTGAAAATGCCGAAAAGTAAACCAGAACTTTTTTTATTTTTTGAAGAAATGGTGAAGGATTTTGGCGCAGCTCCGAATTCAACTCAATCAAAGTTTTATGGTGGTTCCAGCATTTTTCATTTTTCAAGACTTTCTCCTTCGGGCAGGCAGACATTCATGCAGACTAGAAATTGGGCCTCAAACAAACAAACTGTGCAAAATTTATAAGTAAGGTGAAAAAATAAAATCCTGACCCATGAGTGCAAAGTCTAAATAAATATGTTTGCATGGTTTTGTGTTGGACAAATGACAGGTCGACAGGAAGATTAGACTTGAAGTAAAGATATAAAAGAGTTAAGGGGAGTTTGGTGGAAAGAAGACAAAAATTATTTATTTTAAGAAAAATTCTGTAAGAAATACAAACTAAGTGCGAGGAGGAAGAGTTTGTTTGCAGGATATTAATGATAAAGACTCAAACAGTCTGAGCAGAATCACTTTGTTGGTCTCAAACAGTAAATATTTGAATAAATCAAAATGGAGTTTTATGGTTGCATTTAAAGGTAAATGAATGTTAAAGGCAGCACTCAGTGAATATATGATACTTCTTTGACAATCTTGTGGATCCAAAATAACTAATGTATTAAGTTTAAATTTTAACTATCTCATTTTTTTTCTGAGAGGCTTATTTGTTGCCTCAGTTTTTCGACRTCTCTTCATAACAAAAGCAAAACACCCCCCGGTCACATTAAAGCAATGTAATTTCATAACTCCAGTGTCATCTGAGGTTTGTTTTGTTCTGTTTATATCTAAAGTGTCTCGTCAACAAATTAATTTGATTGATACAAACACTGCCGATAATATTGATGTTTGGATAGTTCAGCAGGGTTCTTGCCGGAGGCTCTCAGTCCTTTACACAACTCTGTATCATTCTAATAGCTTCATTTGCACCCCATTACATCTCATATCACAAAGACCTGTCATCCAAGCAAACCAACATCTGTGTTTCCAAATGATACATATGGAAGAGTTTCCTAATGAGCGACAGGCAGGAGCTTTCAGACGAAAGGGGCAGACGTTTCAAACGATTGATTAGAGCTAATAAAAGCCTCTGGAAGACGTCTCTTCACTCAGCTGTGGGTACAAACAATTATTCAATCACACAATCCGACTTCATTTGTGTACCTTAAGTTGAACAAACATTAACTTTATCTTCTGATGTTCTTCTCTGCTCAGAAGCAAACAGGAAATAATTGTGCTGGAGCGAGTCTTACTGGGGTTTGCCTTTGGCGTGACACATCAACTCCAGATTCTCTCCTTCCCTCGTCAAACCCTGAGGAAACTCCACCACGATTTTGACTTCTGGTTTGTCTGAAAGGATTAAAAAAAAGGGTGAGAAATAAGGTGATTCTTGAGATTTACTGAAACAGATTAGCAACAAAAGACTGTGTTTGCTTACTGGCTKACTTCAGAATGTTTTGAATAAAGTAATGTACATTTAAAAGTTGAACTCTGCAACTTTTACTCAACAGTTTTAATTTCCACAAACAGAAAATCTGAACATTCGACAGTCTGATGATTGGCTTTTGTTAGACGCTTACAGAAACATCCAAAACCTTAAAGGGCAGCAAGAATGGATGATGCTGCTCTTTATCTTTAAAACATGTTGAGTGGCTTGACGTGGTTGCAGAGGCTGGACAGGGGAATGAAGATTTAAATAAAGAGCTCAACGCACCAGAACTCAGAACTCATCAGAACAGATTTATTGTTTTGGGTTGGGGTCAGGGGGTTGAGGGGGGCTCATTGGTGGGCCCAATGGATAGCCCTTTGTCAGAGCCAAACAACAACAACAGAAAAAAAAATAAAATAAATGAAGCTTCTATGTTGAATAGTTTCTGGGTCATAAGCATGTTTGTAGGTCCAGTCACCCCTTTTCAGATGGAGCCCCTGCTCAAATATAGGGTGTATTGTAAATCTGTTGGCTGGCACAGTGTAGGTCGAACACATCTACATTCCTGCCAAATTTCATGTTGATCGGTGCAGATGTTTCCGTCATATGGTTGACAAAAAAATCACAAAAAATAAATAAAAAATAAAAATAAATAAATATAAAATAAAGATAAACAATATGATCATGATCATAATAATATCACTGGTGAAAATTCAAATTATTTTAAAATTTAGACAGTTGGTTTTGAGATCTAGTTTTTGTGCCTGAGAGAGGACAAATGAATTATAAACTGATGGTGTCAAACCGTTTAGGAGGGACAAATATTTTCCCACGTAGTCGAGGAAAGCAGTATGACTTCATTCAGAGTTAACATGTTTCATAAATAAAAGGAGTTGGAAGACGCGCTCCTGGGAAATCCCTTGAATAAGAGGGGTGTGAGCGGAGGAAGCACCTCCAAGCACAACAGACTGTTGACATTTGGCATTTTCATCTCCTGTTGGGGGGGAGGGGGGATGGCGGTGGAAAGTTTAAAGCCRAACAGGGAAATGCCAGTAGACAGAGAACATTTATCGATGGTTAAAATGTCTGGATCAAGCAGCTGAAATAGCTGCCGCTTTAAGAGACCTCAGGGGGAAAGCAGTGTGAGGGGAAGKTCCCAAAAGGGTTGGGGGGATTAAAAACAACAAAAGATGCAACAATCAGAACAACATCCATAACTCGCTTTAGGAGAATCTGAGAGCGAGGCGGTCAATTTTATGCAGCTGAAAGGTAACTTTATTGACAAACGAACAAAGCTACACGCTGCACAAGCTTCGTCTCCGCGGAGTTGGCTTGACGTAAACAATAAATTACATTCGAGGCGTTATTCCTCTCCTCTTGCTACTCTCTCAACCGTAGCCTGCTCTTCAATAGCTACATTTCAAACTCCAGCGGCARTGCTTTTTTATTGATGGAGGAATTTTAAGTAAACCCAGCACCAAAACACAGCCTTAAAGCTTCGGGGGAACAGTAAGTGGACAGCACCGCAAACAGCCCCCCCCC